AAATTGAACCAAACATGTCGTAAGACACGACACTACTCCCACTAAAAAGATGGAAAAACCTTAGGATTAGACCCTCGGTCAGCTATTTCATTTGTCTCAATCAAGTCATCACTAAATTTTTTCTAAGTAAGCTCCTCAAGGTAATTTCGTATGATACAATTTAAACCCTTTTTATACAACCATTGCACTTTAAGCCAAAAGATACCCTCCCCCCACCCAAATTGTAACTGTTCAAGAAAAAATGGTGGAGGGCTTAATTGTAACAGATTAATCTAAAGTTTGTTCCTAGAAAAAGCAGTAAAATTGAATAATAATATCTAAATAGAAAAATAGATGTATGTATAGAAGAAAAGGTTATTATTACCACACAAAAAAATTATTATTTTTACACAAGTCACTATTTTTTTTATTTAATTGATATTAATTATAAAAAAAATTGATAAATAATAAAAAAAAGTAATAATTTTAAATAATATAATTAACTATTATATATTATAAAAAATAAACTAAATCAAAACACTCAGTAAAGAGAAAAAAAAAACGAAAAACTTACGTTGCTATGACAATTTCTTGTGCGACAACAATAATACCCTGTACATGGAAAAAAACATACGGAGTGGCGTAAATTACACGGCAAAGTGGGTGTTGTTTTTTAATATCAACCGTGAGCCGAGGAAATATTGCTAAGAGTGGAATGGGGATGGGCAAGGGGGAAGGCGTCAGAGATTCTTTACCCGCCCGAAGTAACTGACTTTTACTCAGGTTAAGATAGCAGGCAGGTGCGATGCTGAGGTGCACGTGTTCCTATAAATCCTCCACGCCACAGCTTTATTTTCACCCTCAAGCGTGAAGATTGGGGTATGGGGGGATTAGATCTTTCCAATCCTACATATAGACTGGGACGGGACATGCCAGTCATCTGCCACCTCTGTTGGTTGACATCACTCATTGGTTTGGAATTCCAAAGCCCATCCCTCGTTGGATTTTGTTCCACGGCTCTAGGCCTGAGGATTTGACTCCACTTTCTTCACACAATGTTGGGTCTTCCTAAAAGAATTTAGGCCCATTTCAAAGTCCACTTTAGCCCTATTATTCTTTTTTTTGTGGGTAGTTTTTTCTTTAAAAATATATATATATATATTATTACTATTTTTTTCTATTTTCAACATACATTTGGTGAGGGGATGTAGGAAACCACAAGTCTACTAACCGAGAAACATTCATCTTACCATTTGCCAAAAGATTAATAGCTTGGATTCTATAATTATAGGTGTGTGTGGCTATGGAAGTGTATGCGCATGGAAGAATCTATGATCAAAGTTGTATTAACTATGAATGTTAATGTATTTTTAATTAAAAAAAAATGAATGTTAATGAAAATAAAATTGTTTTTATGTACCAAAAACAAAAAATCGTATGTCATTAGATTTAGAAAGAAAAGAACTGCAAATAAAACAAATGATTAAAAAAAAAAAGAAAAAAAGAAGAAGAAGAAGACAACCCTGCATGCTACACAGTAGAAAGATGAAAGATGATTTGTCTCTCCTTTATGCAATTTGAAATTAAGAAAAAAATAATAATACAAAGGCTAACAATTTCCTTTGCTACAAGGATGGGGCATAATGTAACACTATTTCTAACAATCTAGTTAAATTGATGCTGGTAAACCATTTCTAACACCAATCAAGTTCTCAATGAGTGAAATTAAACACAACTAACCCCGCATGCTCCATCACAAGTCATAAAAACTCACTTGCAGCTGCAGATCAGGTGAATACAGCAAACTCAGCACCAAATAAACAACTACCACAATCTTTATCCTCTCATCTTTTAGCCTCATCTTGGGTAGCATTAAAAGAAACCAAACCGAGCTGCTCCTCAACTTTCTTCCAGGCATCCAGAAAGTTGGGAGGGTACTTCTTCTTCACCGTCCTGATCAATCCTTTGGCCTCCTTCATCTTGTCCTTCTTCACCAATCCCTCCACCAAAAGCTTAATGGTGTCAAAATCCGGGATCTTGTGCACACTTACACTCTTCTTAAACACTTTATACGCCTTGTGATACTCCTCATTCCTACTCAAATAAAATATCAAAGTCCTAAAAGTTGCTGCATTTGGGTTACACCCATTACCCTCTAATTCCTCATATACCTTCTTAGCCTCCTCCATCATTCCATTCTTAAAATAACAGGTCATGAGATAATTATAACTAATGGTATCTGGTTTTAACCCAATATTACTCATCTCATCGATCAACTCCTTCAATCTTTCTGGCCTACTGCCTTGCAGATTCATGAGCCTCACATTATACACAGCAACGTCCAATTCACACCCAGTCTTCAACATCTCATCCCACAACTTGTCAGCCTCTTCGCTTTTCCCTTTTTTATACAAAGCAGTCAATAGAGTGGTAAACATCACCGTCGTGACACCCATACCTTTCTCCTGAATTTCTAACAGGGCATCAAGGGCCTTCTCAGGCAAGCCCGCTTCACAGTAAGATTTAACCAAAATACCATACGAAACATCATCAGGCGACACTGCGTATTTCTTTGGAATTTCATCAAACAGTTGGAGGACCTTGTCAAATTGCCCCGAATGAATACACGCCGTGAGCAAGGAATTGAAAGAAACGACGGACCTGGGGGTACCCAATTGGTCCATTTGATGAAAGGTTTTGATTGCGTGATCTAACATACCGGCGATGCCATAAGATCGGATGAGGGTGGATAGAAAGGGTTCTTGGGTGATATTGGGATCATTTTTCTGGGACTCAATAAGAGATTCGATGTCAGAGAAGCGCTGCGACTTGGCGAGGCGGCGAACGGTGACCTCCTGTGCGTAGCGGGACGAGGAAGCGGAGGAATGGTGTTTGGAGACGGAGGAGTAGATTTCAAGGGCTTTGTCCGGGTCATATTCAGTACGGAGTTGGGCTTTGGCTCGTGATATGGAAATGGAGGAGGAAGAAACAGTGGTGGAGAAGTGGCGGAGGTGGCAGAGACGGAGAAAAGCTCGCATCTTTCCCTCTTTCTGGCTTATGTTGGAGTTTTGGGTGGAAGAAGGAAGAAGCTAACTAGTTTTGGTTCCAGGGTTTTAGAACCAGGGTTTTACTACCTGCTTGACAAACGGTACTTGGGGAACAACTGCAATTTACTGCCTTAATTTTCCAGTAAACCTATTATCCCAATTGTCCCCAACAAGATTTTCCCAAGGATTTTCCTTTTTCTTTTTTTCTTTTTTTTACATTGGAAATTTGGGGATGGAGGTTTATTTTTAAAGGTGTGGTGAGAGTGGAATTTTTCACTAGCTAAATCTAAGTACTTAAAATTCATGATGAATATTGTATCCCAAGATCTTGTTAGATTTTTTCATGTATTATTAATTTAAAAATTAAAATTTTTATTTAAAATCAAGATTAGTTTTTAAACATTGTGTTGGGTAACTTTTCCTATGTACTAAAATAAATTAAGAGACTAATAAGTAGCCTGCTTGGTTTAAATAAAAGGGAGAGAGAGGAGGAGAGAGAAAATAATTTTATTTAAATTACAAAATAAATATTATTAGAAAAGAAATACCTCAATTTTAAGATATCTATCTTTTATTAATTTGTGATGTATAATTTAAATTACACAAAAAAATTTTACCTTAAATTTATTGGTTATAGCTACTTAGTTTTAAAATTAAAATTAAAATTGACTTCTAAAATCTAGAATTCAAAACTACAAAAAATAAAAATCAACATTTAAATTTTTTTAAATAAAATTATTGAAATAGTCTTAATAAATTTTTATTATATATTAATTTTTAATAATTTAATTACTAAGACATCTTTATTTTTCTCAATCCTTAAGAATAATATCCGAAATCAAAATTTGAAATTTATTAAACTTTTTAGATTTAATTTAATACTGTCAAATTTTGCAACAGAACCTTAATAAATTTCAAAAATTGATTTCATAACATCTTTATTTTTCTCAATCCTTAAGAATAATAATCAATATCCGAAATCAATTTTTGAAATTTATTAAACTTTTTAGATTTAATTTAATACTGTCAAATTTTGCAACAGAACCAAAAACAAACAACCAAACGAAAACTTAGAAGTTAGAATTCATAAGCTTGTTGAGTTAAAAGGCAAATAGATAAGCCAAAATTACAAAATAATAGTAACTTGTTTCCTCTTCAACTTGATGCGTTTATGACTATTTTTAGAAGCGAAACTAAAAACACATTCAATAACACAACAAGCTTTTAATGAGAATTCTATATAAAACATCTAACACTATGGACCAAAATAGAGAATCCAAGTATGATCCACCTAGAGGGACATGATAATAATTAGCCTTCGTATTCCCCCTGGGCAAACTTGTTCTCAGGATAGAAGACTGCAACTACTTGATTTCCACCAAACTTCCTTCCATTCATTGCTGTTTGAGCTTTTCTGGCACCCTCAATGTCAGAGTACTCCAAGAACACCTAATGATAACCCAACAAAATTCAGTCAACATCCCAGCAAAACATAAATGCCATAACAAAGAATATACATAAATAAAGTGGTATATTATCCATGTTATAGGAATTAAAAATTAAAAAAAAAAACAAATCGATGTGAGGGGGAGAGATAGCTAATAAGCTACATACTGACCCTGCCAAGACCTGGTGAAGGTTCTCCATTTGGGTTTGGGCGGGGGATGATGACATTCACCAATGCACCTGCATATTATGCGTGAAAACATTAGTTAGAGAAAACAATCTAGTGGGAATTTAGGGCTGTTAACAAGTTGAGTACTTAGATATTCATGCTCAAACTCGTCTTAAAAATTTGAGCTCAAGTATTTGTCGAGCTCAAAATAATTG